CCTCCGCCAAATCCACCGCTACAGCGAATTATGGGGACGGCGGCGCCACGGGGTTGGGGTCACCCCCAAACCGTCACCGCCACCGCCGCCGCCGCGACTCACCGCCGCCGCCGCCGCCGGCGAGACGGTGTTACCGGTGTTGGTGTTGGCGTGCGACCGCAGCACCGTACGGCGCTGTTTGGATAAACTCTTACGTTATCGGCCTTCGGCTCAACGGTTCCCGGTGATCGTCAGTCAGGATTGCGGTCACGCCGAAACGGCGCGCGTCATCGCTTCCTACGGCGACGCCGTGGCTCACATCCGCCAACCCGACCTCAGCGAGATCCCCGTCCCGGCGGAACATCGCAAATTCCAAGGATATTATAAAATCGCGCGGCATTACCGGTGGGCTTTGGGACAAGTTTTCCGTACGTTCCGCTACCGCGCCGCCATCGTGGTGGAGGACGATTTAGAAATCGCGCCGGATTTTTTCGAGTATTTCCAAGCGGCTTTTCCCCTCCTCCTGGCCGATCCCACGCTCTGGTGCGTCTCCGCTTGGAACGACAACGGCAAAGAGCAAATGGTGGACGCGGCGCAAGCCGAATTGCTTTACCGCACCGATTTTTTTCCCGGTTTGGGTTGGTTGCTTTTAGCCGAACTTTGGGAGGAACTGGAACCCAAATGGCCGCCGGCTTTTTGGGACGATTGGATGCGTCAACCCGAACAACGGCGCGATCGTTCCTGCGTCCGACCCGAAGTCTCCCGTACCATGACGTTCGGGCGGAAAGGAGTAAGCCACGGCCAATTTTTCGATCAATATTTAAAATTTATCAAACTCAACGACCGTTTCGTGCCTTTTACCCAACTGGATCTTTCTTACCTCAAAAAAGAAGAGTACGAACGTTCTTTCCTCCCCAAAGTTTACGCCGCGCCGGAGGTGAAGGTGGAAGAGCTCCAGGGGAACCGACGGCGGGAGCTGAGCGCCGTCCGCCTGCAGTACAGCGGCCGCGATTCCTTCAAAGCCTTCGCCAAAGCTCTGGGGCTGATGGACGACCTCAAATCCGGCGTCCCCCGCGCCGGTTATCGCGGCATCGTCAGCTTCGTTTATCGGGGGCGACGCGTTTATCTCGCCCCTCCCTCGGACTGGACGGGTTACGATCCCAGTTGGAGTTAGCGGAGGGGGAAGCCGGTGGTGTTTTCTGCTTGTTGTATTATTTTTTTTTTATTATTATTATTT